AGTGCGTTCTACTAAGTCGCCCTGACAACAAGACTAAGTTACGACAACGAGGTCAACCCATTTCCATGCTTTTCGATTGACAGGAACTATCAAAATCACTTTTGCTCAAGCATATCATCAGCATATATTAACAAACCAATGAGTTTTCCTTATTCGTTGGCTTTAATATGCTTATAAGGTTGTTGTTTCTTTGTTTTGGTGACGCCACGCTTGGGGAAGATGAAATCTTAGATCTCTTTATCACCGGAATCGAAGGAGATTGCCTAGGAAATAGCGTCAGCAAGAATGTCCCAGTAAAGTCAATTGATGTCCGACCAATATAAATCCGCAGTCGTCTTCTGGTGTACTCGAACTTTGAATACCTTAACCCCTTACTTCCCACTCAACTTTTTTCGTATGAAACGAGAGTAAACGAATTTTGAGTTAGCATTCGTTTTCTTAGAATGTATCTTGACTATTTCATTCATGTGTAGACTTTTTGTTGGTATTAAGGCCGATTACACCATTACTGGCAACGAAGCTAGAATTCGGCATCTTCCAAGTGTCCGGACCACGAAGGCCTTTCTCCTTTTGAAGTTCATCCAATTCTGGCGAGCAGATATCATACCTTTCACGGACTTGAGGCAATTCTGGTGGCAGCGCTCTTTTGTGCCAATCATTCAAACCAATCGTCTGGTTAGAACTAATCACCTCAGACTAGTCTAAGGTATCGTCAGGTAGTGAGCCCTGTCTAAAAGACAATTTTGTGTGTCCAGTTAGTAAATAAAGACGAAAATCTTCAAGACTGGCCACAAATTTCGCATACTTACCGACCATCCATTGACTGAGTCCTGCTCCACCAAAGTTTACCCTCGAAAATCGAATCTTGCGGTTTCCATAGAGCGGAAGGCCACTATGATGCGTTTTTCCACAGCTTGGAGGACGAATTTTCAACGTTAGTTTAGTTTATCTGTGTTAGATACCCTCTGCAAGGCAGGCCCAGGGGGAAGGCCGGAGGGGACGTTCGAATGGCATCCCTGGCCTGGCGCCTAGTTCCCTCTGCCAGAGAATCTGAGAACACGGCCCGAAATGTACGTTTCTCGCGTTTTACTGCGTCTCTCGGGTACGCATGGTTCCGAGGTCAGCAATCACAGTCCGTCCCTGTCCCATTGGTCTGCACTTTTGTAAAGTCCAAATAAACAGGCAAGTCTACAAATAGAGCGAGAAAACTCTTGGTCTCGTCAGGCATTTCTGCCTGACAAACGATGAGGAGACGGGATTTCTCGGCGTATCCAGCCCACAGACAAGGTGGTTGTGTAGAAAAAGTGGGTTTCGAGGTCTCTCTTGGTAGATTGCTGTTGGAGCACCTTTCATTTCGCTTAGCTGGATACAGGGACTATACCAACCAGTAGGTTGAAGATTAGGCAATGTATGGAAATCAACAAAACAGCAAACACTCTGAATAGGAGTGAAAACTACTTGTGGCTGTTGGATAGGATTAGGGAGAGAGAGAGAGAGAGAGAGAGAGAGAGATGGGGAAATGAGAAGTACCCCCGAGAACGAGGAGGAGGCTTGATTAGGCTCGATTCTCGTTTTCACTCTCATATCACACACATTTTAAGAGCAATGCATGCATACAGTGCGCGTGCAATACAACGCAATCGCATGTGGTAACATTGCAAGATCAAAGGCATAGGTGTGTTTTAGGGGAGGATGCAGCTGTTTGGTCACAATTGCAGAGTATGAGATGTCTCACCAAGTGGACCTAGCCAAAACATGAAAAGTAGTTAGCTCTCAAAAAACAAAAAAAAGTAGTATACTTTCGACCTTCTTTTTTGCAACTTAGTCGGAGCGTCGGAGAGACGTTGTGTAACGTACCTGGTTGAACGTTTCCTGACACAGTGGTCGCGACGTCCAACATTTTGAATATTGGCTTGGCAAATTCCCAAACGTTTCGCCGGTATCGTAGTCGACATCGTCAGCACACGGTTACAACTTATCAAAGTGACATTGACGATGCCGACTACGATGCCGGCGAAACGTTTGCAAATTCACCAAGTCAAAAGTCCGATGCTGGGCAACACAAATACAATGTCAGAGGACACAGGACCAAGTAGCGAAAACAAGCGACCGCGATCTAACAGAGCGCCACACAATCTTGGTCTTCATACCCCGGATATAAAAGTGGATACCATTTCAGCAGGCCACCTGGTTTGTCTTTGTGTCTTGGTGATTTGTCGTTAAGCATGATGTTTTGCTTTGATGACGTCTTCACATAACGGGCGAATTTTCAGCAAGGATTCCTTGTGGTCGCATGGCGATGCGCCGAGGACCTACGTGCACAAATCTACAATCACAGCTCTAAGGCTTCCGATGAGGCCAACTTATAAATTCCTTCCACTCACCTCTTCAAACGAAATTAAAGATGCTGTAGTCTGCGTCGATTACTATTTCGACATGCGTCAAATATACCTCAATCTGTGTGTGAACCCCGCTGGGGCCATCGACCAGATCTGGGCGAACCCTTTTGGGTGGGCCCCATGAGGGTTTATTTGTAATTGTTGGGCTCACTTCCGCTTCGGGTGAAGGTGTGTGATAAGCGGTTTGGACGGCTGCCACCTATCCAGAATAATACGGTGAACTTCTGGTCAGCTGTCGGTTGGACCTACTAGAACCCTAACCGAGTGACGCTGTTTTGGAGGCAATCTTTTTCGATTTCGGTGAAAATGCGATATAAACTGAGATTTAATGGATCTCCTGAAATAGCCTTGTTGGGTTGACTTTCATTCTGACTAAAAGGGTCTGAAAAAGAGCTTCGTTTTCCCTTTGTTCTGCCGTCGCTTGACTTGCATGCATCAGAACCAGATGTCATTTCTGGCTTACGTAATCCTTGACACGAGTGGTTAACGTGGCAAGCTCACATTCTGCACTCTCACGTTTAGAATCCCGCTGGGGGGGGTTTTGATAAGACCGATGCGAGGTCGAAACTGCAATTCACTTCAGCCTGGATGACAAAAACTTTTGGGAAAGTAAGGCTATGTGAAAATTCAATGGAAACGTCAGCTCTGCTCACATCATTGTGGGAAAATTCAACTACCAGTCCTTCATCACTTTAAACGAAATAGGGTGAATACATCTCATTTTACTGATTTACTGGTAGTCTCGATAATCTTTTCACATACGAAAAATTACGTAATCCTGATCATAAGTTTATTAGGTGCATTAAGCCTTGGTGACCAGGAAGTCTTGTTTGTATCTTTAGCCATTCTTTCCGATAGGAGTAGCTTGCGAGAATAAATTCAGGTTGTTTTCTAACTACTTTAACTTATGATGCTTATTTCAGAGGCTGAATTGCACATACACACAAAAACTCAAATATAAGTATCTTGGTGAAAATGAGAAATAATCAACCAATTAATTCTATATCTATTTATATATTTCGGCTTTTAGTTGTGAGTATATATAGCATTTAGGGAACAGCAGGATGATCTGCTTGAAGCTGTTGTAGGAATAAATTTCAGCTCCGATGACTATCTTCATATGATTAACGAAAGTTCAACCTGTTTACCCAAAACGAATTCATGTTGTATGCCAATCTTTTAGCGTATGCTTGTGCTATTGACTCGAGGACATTGTAAACCAGAAGGTTCTATCAAAACCAAACAACAACTTATCAAGGTATGAAGACGAAGATGGTGTGGCCTTTTGTGTGGTCGCAGTCTCCTTTCGTTGTATAGAGGTTGTT